TGGGATGGGAGGGGGCATGAAGAAGGACCCTCTTATTTGTGATTCTCCATTCGTGTTGCTGTTTATAGTTTGTGAAAGTGGGGAACCATCCCCCTTCTCACTGTTCCTCTTGCACGTTTCCCGTCTTCCACCTGGCAGTACCCTCCCCTCCCCAATACACACCCTGCGTTAAATGAGTGGATTATTCCTAATGATTAATAAAAAGGTATTTTTTCTACTGGCTGGCTGATTGTGTGACTTCCCAAATGTCCAGGGAGCCAGGGCTGGCAGTCGGGACAGCTGAGGCCTCAAAGGACTGAGTCTTGGGATACCCCATTCCCACGTGGCCCAGTTTAACCTTTCCCATCCACTGTACCCCCAGGCCTTCAGCCTCTACCCTGAGCTGTCCTCATGCAGTGGGTCACCGAGCCTCACCCTTCCCTGGTGTGCCTAGCATTCTGACCACTGTGCAGCCTTCCCAGCAGCCTCCCTGGCCACTGCCCGCTTCCTCAGTCCATCCTGTATACAACCACCCAAGGACCCCATGGCTCCCTCCTCTTGTTTATAAGCTTTGTTGTCTGCAAAGCATTTCCTAGTGACTGAGGAGTCTTGGTGGTGCAGTGGTTAAAGCGCTCAACTGCTAACCAAAAGGTCTGCTGTATGAACCCACCAGCCGCTCTGCAGGAGAAAGATGTGGCAGTCTGCTTCCGCAAAGATTTACAGCCTTGGAAACCCTATGGGGCAGTGCTACTCTGTCCTGTGGGGTCGTGATGAGTCAGAATCGGCTAGACAGCAATGGGTTTCCTAGTACCTGATTTCACCTACTTAGCTCCTCTATTGATTTCCAAGTCCAACCTGTGTGGTTTCATCATCAGTACCCTCGATTTTCCTTGCTCCCAGCTTATTCCCGCGGGGAGTGAGAGGCAGCCTGCTCCTCACGTCTTACCCAGCAAACCCTGCACACCCTCCTCGCTGTGTCATGAAGTCTTTCTCCTCATCCTTTTTGCAATTCAACAAACACAAGGCTTGCCAGGGACTGAGGGCCAGGTGCCAAGGACTCGTCCTCCCAAAGCCACACTGTGCATTTTTGAACAGCTCTGTTAGAAGAAAATTCTTAGGTTGGAACTGAGGAAATAGGTTCCCCTGTAACTTCCATCCTATTTCTAACCCTTGGACCTCTTAGAACAGAATGAGTCCCTCTTCCACCCACTAGTTTGTTGCCTGGGCACCTTCTTCCCATGGAAACTTCCCTTTTCCAGATGAAAAACCCCAGGTTTACCAACCTGGGTCCTCTGTTTTGAACAAGGTACTTAACATAGGTGACAATGTTCTGAAGTCCTAGATGCATTCTCTGTCTCCTTGGATACCAGTGCATTAAGCTCCTCTGTGATCCTGGGGGCAGGGAGAGAACAGGGGCTGTATCTGTCCCCAGCTGGTCAGCAGCTCAAGAAGTAGGGGTTGGAGATCTGAGACTTGTCAGGTAATATGATGCCTAAAGCTTGGGGCCAAGAGGGGAGGCAGCCACAGCTCCAGAATGCTCCACCTTCAGCAAACAGAAGGTGTAAAGCTGATTCTGGCACCTCTCTCCTCTAGTCCCATCCCAGGGGGCAAACAGTGGGAGGTGTGGAGCATGGAGCTCTGGGACCAGCTGCATGGTTCTGAACCTCACTGTCCCAGATCCACCAGAGCAGTTAATCGCCTGGAAACCAAGTCTTTGTTCACCTAAGGGAACCTCCTTAAATGCAAAGAGGGGGCAACCAGTGCCACCTCCCACCCTGGAGACCAAGGACTCCCTTTTCTTGGCCATGGCTATAAAGGATTCTGCTGACCTGCCCCTACCTCCACTTTCCCCCTTCTTTCTGCACATAGTATAGAGAACGGTGGATGTCGTGAGGATTTCTGGACCATAAAGAGGATCCTTGGATACCCGAAGTGGGGGGGCAAAGGGGAGGCTCAACACATGGATCCTGGACAGCACCACAAAGGGGCCTCAGTCTACCCTCTCAGATGACTCCCTATCTGATAAGGCTCAGAGCAGGTGAAGAACCACTCCCTCCCCCAAGGTGGGACCAGCTTCCCATCCACTTCTCACACTATATAGCCAGGTTCCAGCAGCTCCAGGGGAAGACCAGCTGAGATGCAGACCCCACAGCTGCTGGGGCTCCGGGCCCTGCTGTACCGGGCACCAGGTGACGCCTGGACAGCCAGGAGGGCCCAAGGAGCTGGGAAAACTGAGGGAGAACGTGAGGGCTGACAGAAAGGGGAGTTAGAGCCTGGTGGGAAGCCTGGGAAGAAGAGGTGGTCCCCGAACTGAGCCACCCCTTATCCTACTCTATCTCATTGACCCAGGCTGTGAGCTGCGATGCTCCCTGTGTGAGGTGCTCTGTGAGCTCTGGGCTGCGTGCTTGGACTGAGAATCTACTCCATGCCCCTAGGAGGGGCATTTGTCTCCTGCACAGCTGTACCAAGTGAGTGACAGCCCCGGAGGGTGTGGGATCCAGAAGTTGGGGATAGCCAGATCATTCATTCATCCATTCACCCATCCATCCAGTCAATCAACAAGTCATCACAGCGCCTTCAGGATTCTAGTCATTATCACGCTTTCGATTCATTTATATTCGGGTTAAAACCCCTCTCTAGTTCCTAACCAGACCGCAGTCCAGGGCCGCGCTCCGCAACAGAAGCCGGCTCTCCCCAGGACATATCATCTATGGCCCCGCCTCTTTGGCCCCGCTCCATTCCCCTATCTGTAGCGTCTTTTCTCGGGTCCCACCTCCTTTACTTTATCACTTGGCTGCTTACTCCCAGGTATCCCTTGTCCCGGAGGTGGGGCACCTGGGGTAGGCATCGACTCCGCTGCTGTCACCAGGGTGACTATTACAGTGCCCCGCCTCTTCACCCCAGGAAAGCCTTCGTAGAGCCCGTCACCATGGCAACGAACTCTCTGGGCTCCGAGAAGATTCGCGCGCACTGGCCTTGCCCTGCCTTGTGGACCGAGAGGAGAGAGGCGGAAACAAGGGTGGGATTAACGACTCTAAGGTCACGCCCCTCCAAAGAAGGCCCCGCCCGCGCCAGGCCCCGTCCATCCCCCAAATACTGCCAGGGTCTACACTCCAGTGACCCTCAGACCCACGGTCGCTGTAACTCCACAGCCTGTCCTCCTGGACCTCCCAGGGCAACCTTCTGTGAGCCCAGCCTCAGCCCCCCATAACCCTCTAGTCCTTGCCCTTTAGTTGTGGCCATACTCGAAAAAGGGGTTCGGAGGGCGATGTGAGAGCCCTTCTGTGTGCCTTTGCGCTCTTTGCTTTAAGAGCCACTGCTCTCTGATTCCTTTTGTCTATCATTCCGTCCACTCATTCATTCAACAGACATTTGCACTCTTCCCAATTTTCCATTACTGACTTTTCTTTAATACAGGATGAGGAGGGGAGGGGGAGAAGGCCCTTGGACAGCGCAAGCAGCTTGCAATTGGTTGCTAACCTAAAGGTTGGTGGTTTGAACCCACCCAGCAGCTCCGTGGAAGAAAGGCCTGGTGATCTGCTTCCGTAAAGATTACAGCCAAAAAAAAACCCTTTGGAGCAGTCCTACTGTAACATACGGGGTCGCCACCAGTCGGAATGAACTAGCCGGTAGTTCAGTTTTTAGTTCTTTGACGTAGTGGCGTGCGTTTTCCTCTCGTCCATCTTTTTTGGCGGGTGTTTCTTTCTTCCCACATTCCCCACAATACCCCCCAGACCGGATGATTCTTGAGTAGCCTGGGGCCCTAGCAGGGAACCCGACTGCAGGGACCCATCCTGAAACTCCAGCTGGGAAATTGGGACAGGTGGTGTTGTTCCTGGACGCTGAGGACCTCCACTGCCTACCAACCCTTACAGTAAAAACCCTGAGTCTCTCTCAGAACGTTCAACTGACCAGGAGAGCTTGGAACAAAGCAGGCTCCAGCTGAGGAAATGGGGGGCGTCCGGGGGCCGCCCCGGCAGCTCATTGGTTGCAGCACGGACTCTGGAATCTCAGTCTGGGAGGGAGGGTGGCGCCACAGCGGCACCTTGCGGAGCAACCGCGCCGTGCTCTGGGTGTCGGCTGGGGCCGGACGTCTGGGTCCTGACGCTGGGCCTGCGCGTCCCAGGTTTCTTCCCGCCGCCTGGCGGAAAGCTGAGCTTGGGCAGGGCCGCCCTCGCGTCCTCAGAGGAGCTCTGAGGTGCAGTCAGGCGCGGAGGGTGAACGTGTCGTGCCGGAGCCTGTGGGCGCCGGAGATCAGACTCATCAACCCGCAGTTTGAGTGGGGCGAGAGAAAGACGGGGGAGGAGGCGCTGGTTTCCCGGAACCCCAAGGGGGCCCCAGGCACCGGGCTGAGGAGTGGGTTACTCGAGACCCAGATGTCCTCGCTTTTGGATTTCTGACAGTGCCACAGCTTTCCCATCTTGGAAAATGGTACCCCAACTACCCCCTTACGCACATCCAGCCTGACACCAAATCTGTCCAGTCTTCCTTCTAAATATATCTCGGATTCATTCCGCCCTTGCACACCGCCCTTCTGCAAGGCCAGGCCGCCATCTTGTGACTGAACTCAGGAATAGCTTCCTAACTGGTTTCCCGGCCTCCACTCTTCGTCTTTTTAGTCTCCAGTATGCAGCCACAGTGATCTTTACAAACAGAACTCTGATCGTGTTACCCTCTGCTGAAATCCCTTTAATCAGTGGTTTCACCGTCCAGGTGCTCCCCCGGAAGCACTCTGCCATCGCCTCACCATTGCATGTTGACTTGTCCTCCCCACTAGACTATGCCCTGTAGGGGCAGGGACTTTGTGCACAGTTGTATTCCCAACTCCTAATGCAGTGATTCAATAAGCATCTGTTGAATTAATAGAAAGTCCCCTTCTCATTCCCCTCTTGCTGGGCCCCTGCCCCTGAGCCAGGATGTTAGACCTCAGACTTCCTGTGGGTGAGGACGCACTGTGCCTCTGACTGTTTTGGCACTGATTCCACCCTAAACTGGTGCTGCCTCTCTCCTTCCTCTTGGCCAGTCACTCCTCCGCCAATATAAGCCCAAACTGGGGGCTGCTGGGCAGTCATGCATTTCATGGCAGGTCCTGCAGGTAGCCGGAGTCTGGGGCTCCTGGGCCTCCACAGCAACCCCCAAGCCCTATGCATGGTGCTCTTATTACTGCTGGTCATGAAGAGCTTGGTGTTCGGTAAGTGACTTTGAGGTGTCGGAGGGTCTCCTGGCCTGCTGAATGGGGACACCTACAGACACCAGGTGACTGGGTGCATCTGCCCAGGACACTCAGGTAAATGCAGGCTGGAGGGAAGATGGGATAGAGGGATGTGGTAGGCCTGGGGACTGATAATAGACTAGTGGTCGCCCAGAGAGAGATTTCTAGTAACAAGCCAGGGCTGTCTCACTCAACAGCAGTGACCTGAATGGAGATACTAAAGGGATCCTCTTCGAATCTGAGGGCAGACACAGAATAGAGAGGGTTGGAGAACATGCCAGGTGACAGAAACAGGATCCACAGGGTAGAACAAGGCCTAATCCAGAACGACAGCCTCCTCAATCGGCTGCAAAGCGCCATCTGCATAGAAACAGGATTCAGAGTGTTTGTTCAGCAACTGCCTCACACCAAGTGCTCTGCTGGGTCTGGGGACATCTGAATGTTATGTGGCCTGGGCCTGGGACCAGAGGAAGAGGGATATGTATGTGTTTGGGGAGGGGAAGCGGAGAATGGGGCTTTTGGTAGACAGAGTGTAATATGACTCTGTCCAGTGATAAAACCACCAAAAACAAAGAAAGTGGCCCTGGGCTGCTTGAAGTCTCCTGTCTAGTGGAAGCAGAGATCCTTCCTGCCCTGTGATGCACCTTGTTTTCACAGATTAAGAAAGCATGTTCAAGTGAGAGTGACCAGGATGGTGGGGGACTGAGAAGCCAAGTCACAGAGGAAGAACTGTGCTCACAGGGCTGCCTAAAACTGGAATGGGCTGCGTCAGCCTAACCTTTGAACTTAGAGGCTTACACAGTGCTGGGCACATGTTAGCCCCTCAAATACATGTTGAATGAGTAAATTCAATTCTAAGAATCTCTTCAGTTTTTGGCCCAGGTAGGGTGTGGGACAGGCAGTAATAATAAGTCTGTGTGGAATGAAGGGATGAGAGGATTTGAGGTCTGGCCCGAGGACCTCCCCATCACTAGTGCCTGCAGCCTCTACCAGTAAGTGAGTGAACATATTTTTCTTTTCTGTATAAGAGGACCAAAAACCAAAGAGATTTCAGTGAGAAATAAAGCTTTTGATGGAAGGTTAAACCAGATGACTTTAAAGAATTGATGGTTTTATGGTTTTACTGAGATGGGAAAGTGAGGAAGGAATAGTGGGGTTGACCAGCCTGGAATTAGGTGGGCAGGGACTTGGGGTGAGTGCTCCCCTGTGTTCTAGGTAAGTTTGCCGTCATCAATCGGGAAGCCCCTCCTCCACTTGAGCTCCCGAAATACCTGCGCTGCTATCGATGCCTCTTTGAAACCAAGGAGTTGGGGTGCCTTCTGGGATCTGACACCTGTCTTGCCCCACGTGGTGGCAGTTGCATCACACTCCACATAAAGAACAGTAAGCTGCCCTCTCTCATTGTGGACGAAGCTCTCTCCCAAACTGAGCCCCCACTGACCTCCTAAACTGCACCCCAAGTCTCATTCCCACAACCCTAAGATACTGTTCCATCAATGCTTCTCTTTCCGTCAGAGACACTCCCTGTCTCCACTTCAGCTCCCCGCTTTCCTTCCTCAGGTTCAGCTAATTGACTTCCAACCTCACAGTGCTGAGCCCTCCAGAGTATCCTCGAGATCTCCATATCCACTGGCCTTTCCTCAGGCTTCCTGCTCCCCTATCCATCTGCAGTAGTTACTGCCAGCCTTGCTCTTCTCTGACATCTTTGGCAGCTTCTTCTCAGCTTCCTTCCCTGGGACTCATCTTATTCTCCCTGCCCCTTACTGGTTCATGTTCACCAAGGTCTGGTCCTTAGCTGTCTTCCCATTTCATATACTCTCCCTGGAAAATTTTATCTGCTTCCTTGGCTTCAACCAGCAGCCACATACTGCTCCTTCTGCATCTGAATGTTCAGCTCCAACAGCTCTCCTCTTGTCAAATTGTCTTCTGGACATCTCTGCCTCACTTTCAACTTAGCAAAAATTGACTACATCCCCTTGTTCCTCACAACTTCTCTTCCACCCAATCCCGCCTCTCTTTAAGTTAACAAACATATATCACATACCATGTGCCAGGCACTGTTCTAATCACTTATAACCCCTTGAGGTAGGCATTATAGAGGCTGAGCCAGAATCTGTGGTAATTCCAGAGATGGTGTTCTTAACAACCACTGCGTGAAGCTGCCTTTGTTCAAATCCTTCATTACACTTTTTAGATAGCTGATGCATAGTTCAAATATCAAACAGTATACAAGGGTATCAAAGGAAAGTCTCCTTCCCGCTTCTGTCTCCAATCCACCCGGCTCCCATGCATGAACCACACATAGCTACTTTTTTTGTTTTCTTGATTATCCTTCTGGGATCCCTTGTGCACACTCAGCCTATACAAATTTTTCTGCCTCTTCCCCTTGCCCCAAAGAGTAGCATACCATTGTAAACACTGTTCTGCACTTGTTTTTTAAATGTAACAGTTTGTAAACAGCTTCCTTGCTGCATTGACCTGCTGCAGCATACTTCATGGCCTGGGCATATCAGAGCTGGTTTATCCATTCTGCCTGTGATGGACATTGAGGTTGTTTCTAATTTTTCACACTCTCAAGGCAGCAGTGAACAACCCTGGACCTGACTTCTTAGGACATGGGCACTGTCTTGGTCATCTAATGCTGCTATAACAGAAGTAGCATAAGTGAATAGCTTTAACAAAGAGAAGTTTATTCTCTCACAGTCCAGTAGGCTAGAAGTCCAAATTCAGGGTGCTGGCTCCAGGTGAATGCTTTCTCTCTCTGTCAGCTCTGGAGGAAGCTCCTTCTCTTCAGTCTTCCCTTGGTCTGGGAGTATTTCAGCACAGGAACCTCAGGTCCAAAGGACACGCTCTGCTCCCTGTGCTGCTTTCTTGGTGGTATGAGGTTCCCACGTCTCTCTGCTCACTTCTCTCTTTTATGTCTCAAAAGAGATTGGCTTAAGACACTATCTAATCTTGTAGATCTCATCAATATAATTGCCACTAATCCATCTCATTACATCATAGTAATAGGATTTACAACACATAGGGAAATAAATCAGTTGATAAAATGGTAGACAATCATACAATACTGGGAATCATGACCTAGCCAAGCTGACAGATATTTTTGGGGAACACAATTCAATACATGACAGGCACAAAGTTTTTTTCCCTCTAAGATATATTTCTAGAAACAGATAATCATATTATTCTCCTACTTTGGACCTATAAAATAAATGACAAACTCTTCCTGTCAGCAATCCAACCTCCAATACATTTTTCCAACTTTTTCTTACATGGTCCCTCAGTGCTGGTTCTCCACTTTGCCCACAAGTCCTAACTCAGTCCCCTATATCCGTTGCTGCATTTCTCCGACCCCTCTCCCCCAGCCTTCCATGGGAGACTTCAACCAAGTTCCATGGCTGGTGACTCACTGAGCGCTCCCCATCCCGGCCTGATTATAGGAGTCACTTCAATTTTTGGCCCAGGGCAGGGGTTAGGGGCAATGATAAGTCAATGTGGAGTAAAGGGATGAGGGGATTTGGGGCCTTGCCCAGGGACCTCACTATCACTTAGCACCTGTGTCCTCTCTCCCAGGCAGTAGTACTGACATCATGGTGAGTGACTGCCGCCGCAAGGAACAGATGAGCGACTGCTCATATACTCGAACTTCTCCGGTGTTTGGCTTCTGGATGTACTCTCGATGCTGCTTCTTGGATTTCTGCAATGACCCTCAGAGTAGAGCGATCTATAATCCTTAGAACAACTGCAGAGACCCTTGGAGGAAATGCCACATTTCCAGTCACCCTCCCGACTTCCACCTGGGCTCAGCCAGGAGAATTCCAGCCCTTCACGCCAGTTCTCCCTGCCTCCCTTGAGTCATCTGACCCCAACCCTAGCCCTCTTCCTCTTGCTGGCCGCCTCTCAACACCCCTCTGCCCCTCCCCAAATCACCCTCTCCATAATTTTCTGGAGTTTTCCCATCAGATCCTTACAATCTGATGTCTTTCCTGCTCTCTTCTGCCACCTCTCCCTCCAATCCCACAGATGCTCCTCCAAAATATATTGGTGTGCAAACTGTTTGGTGTGTGTATCTCTTCCGAGGGAGGGGGATGCTGAGGGAGGTGGTCATGCCTGACTGCCCCATCATGGCTCCCAGCCTTGCTGAGCTCTGCTCCTGCCCTGAGTGTCTCTGAGTCAGCTCTAAGCTGAAAAAGATGGAGAGAAACTAGAAATCTTTTTATGGTGAAGGCCAAAAAGGCAGTGAGCATCCTCAGAAGAGCAGTGTGGGGGCTGGAGGGTGGGCAGTGGGGGCTTAGTGTTGGCAAGAGTGGGGCTGTGAGAGGGCCAGGCCCAGGGAGAGGAGGTAGGGAGGAGGCTGCTCTGTGGAGGAGATACTCAGCCAGAGCCCTGACCACTCATCCCCAGATGTAGCTTCCCTCTTCAAGGACCTTGGCAAGTTCCTCCCTAATTTGGGACCTTAGTCTCTGAGGCTGTCTTCCAGTTTGACGTGCTAGGGTTGTATGAACCTGGGTCTTTCTCTTGCACTAAAGTCGAGGTCATGGGGAAAGGTAGGCCCAGCAAGAGGGGAAAACACTGTACCTCTGTGTACCTTCAATTGCCTCATAACCTGAACATGGTAGGTTTTGGTGCCTCCTGCCAGAGTATAGGCCTTCAAGGGGCTGTGGAGAAAAACCTAAACTGTGTGCAAAATATTGTGTAGCTGAAGAGTAGACACTGTATGATGCCATTTATATCAAGCACTCAAAAAGGCAAAACTCATCTAAGCTGCTACAAGTCAGCACAGTGGATACCCCTGAGTTGAGGGAAGTGCCTGGGAGGGGCATGAAGGCAGCTTTGAATGTTGGTAAAGGCCTTTGTCTTGATTTGGAGTGAGTTGCACAAGTGTGTGCACATCACAAAAAATCCATCTTATGGTATGTGCAAGCTCCTGTATGTTTTCTGTCAAAAAGGTTTAAATGGGCCAAAAATTGTGTTTATCTGCATGTGGAACATTCTCCAGACTAGACCACATATTAGGCCATAAAGCAAGCCTTAACAGAATCCAAAGTACTGAAATATTATAAAGCATCTTTTCTGACCATAAAGCCATAAAAGTAGAACTCAATAACAGAAAAAGCAAGGAAGAAAATAAAATACATGGAAACTGAACAACATTTTGATCAAGAACTACTGGGTTATAGAAGAAATTAAGGACAGAATAAAGAAATTCATAGAATCAAATGAGAATGAAAACACATCCTACCAGAACCTTTGGGACACAGCAAAAGTAGTGCTCAGAGGTCAATGTATAGCAATAAATGCACACATCCAAAAAGAAGAAAGGGCCAAAATCAAAATATTAACCCTACAACTCGAACAAATAGAAAGACACTAGCAAAAGAAGTCCTCGGGAACCAGAAGAAAGCAAATAATGAAAATTAGAGCAGAATTAAATGAAATAGAGAATAGAAAAATAATTGAAAGAGTTAATAAGACCAAAGCTGGTTCTTTGAAAAGATCAACACAATCGATAAACCATTGGCCAAACTGACAAAAGAAAAACTGGAGAAGAAACAACCCGAATAAGAATGAGATGGGTGATATCACAACAGACCCACCTGAAATTAAAAGTATCATAACAGAATACTATGGAAAATTGTACTGTAACAAATTTGAAAACCTAGAGGAAATGGACAAATTTCTAGAAACATACTACTTACATAAACTAACACAAACAGAGGTAGAACAAATAAATAAACCTATAACAAAAGAAGAGACTGAAAAGGTAATTAAAAAAACTCCCAACAAAAAAAAGTCCTAGCCCAGATGGTTTCACTGGATAATTCTACCAAACTTTCAGAGAAGAGTTAACACCACTACTACTAAAGATATTTCAGAGTATAGAAAAGGATGGAATACCCCCAAACTCATTCTATGAAGTCAGCATAACCCTGATACCAAAACCAGGTAAAGACACCACAAAAAAAGAAAATTACAGACCAATATCCCTCATGAACATAGATGCAAAAATCCTCAACAAAATTCTAGCTAGTAGGGGGGCAGGGCCAAGATGGCAGAGTAGTCAGATGCTTCCAGTGGTCCCTCTTACAACAAAGACCCGAAAAACCAAGTGAATCGATTATATATGATAATCCAGGAGCCCTGAACATCAAAGGCAAAGTTGAATCAGACTGAGTGGCAGAGGGAAGGAGAGACGGTTTAGAAGCAGTGAGGAGTTGCCAGACCTGACCCAGCAGGAGTTGAAGTCCTTCACACCAGACCAGCTCATGGTACACGGTAAGCCAAGCAGCGGCACTCTGGAGGTGTTTTCCACATAGGGAGAGACCCAGCAGCAGAGAGTCTACTCAGCCATCCAGAACCAGTGAGAAGCAGCTCAGTGAAAAATAAGTACTTGCATCTGCCCTACCACGTGGATCAAAAACACCCCCCTTTGGGAAAACCTCTCTCCCATTTACCTCTCCGCTCCCTGCTCTGCACTGGGTCCGGGATGGCTTCAGCAATCGCTGAGTCCCCTGGGCCAGAGGTAGGACCCGTCACATTCCCTGAGCCATTCTACTGGCCTTGGAGAGGGAACAAATTAACAAACAGGGGAAAAAATAATCTGCTGGCTCCCCTAAGCCAAGAACTCAGGGTGGGCACAGCTACTTTTCCTAGGCATAGCATAAGGGGTCCACAGACTTTGAGTGCCTTTCCCCCTGCATAGACTTGTGTGGACTCATTTCAGCAGCATAGGCCCTCATTACCACAGTACAACAGGGTATATACCTGAAGTCTAACTACAACTATTTCAGCTGTGAAGTGGCAGGTTCATGACATTTGACACTGCTCTGCCCACATCAGGGGCCTGAGGACTGGTGGCTCCACTCACGCCACCTAACCACCTGCGACAGGGGCCCAAGAATAAGTGGTGCCCCCCAGTCCTTACAGCCAACAGCATTGGGTGCTCATAGTCCAGCTGCAAAACCCACCCACCTACATGCTCTAGGGAACAGGGACACACTTTCCTACCAGACACTTGGGAGCGGTAGTCAGCCCCCTGTCTTGCTCAGTGTGACCCTCTGCTGCAGCCAGATGCCTGTGCCTATACCAATCACCCAGGCCTGTCTAGGACTGTAGGTGAGAGCCTGCACCAAACACTTGGTGACCGACTACCTGGACACCTGAGCTGAATCCATACAGGAGGAGTGGGCAGACTCCTGGGTTCATGTACTTAGTGGCAGTTCTGGCCACCTGGTGACAGGATATTGGCGCTTCAGGTGTGCCGGTGTTTGGGCTAGCTCACAGGAGCAGCCTATTTGGGCATATCAAAACAAGAAGCTAGGACACGGTAAGCAAACATAAAATAAATAAATATAACGACTTATTGATGGCTTGAAGACAACCGTAAATATCAAATCACGTGAAGAGGCAGACTGTGATGACTTCAGCAAGCTCCCAAAATAAAGAATCAAGAAATTTTCCAGGGGAAGATAATTTCTTGGAATTACCAGAGGCAGAATACAAAAGATTAATCTACGGAACTCTTCAAGAGATCGGGAAGGAAATTATGGAAAATGCAGACCAAGCAATAGAGGAACTTAAGAAGACTAGAGAAGAGCATAATGACAAATTTAACAGGCTGCTCGGATCCATAGAGAGTCAGCAATCAGAAATCCAGAAGATTAACAATAAAATTTCAGAATTAGACAACTCAATAGAAAGTCATAGGAGCAGAATTAAGGCAATGGAAGTCAGAATTAGTGGACTGAAGATAAAGCACTTGACACCAATTTATTTGAGGAAAAATCAGATAAAAGGATTAAACATTCTATCCAGTAGAATTCAACAACATATAAAAAAATAATAATAATAATTCACCATGACCAAGTGGGATTTATACCAGGTATGCAGGGATGGTTTAACGTCAGAAAAACAATCAACGTAATCCATCACATTAATATAACAAAAGACAAGAACCACATGATCTTATCAATTGATGCAGAAAAGGCAATTGACAAAGTCCAACACCCATTCATGATAAAAACTATCAGCAAAATAGGAACAGAAAGGAAATTCCTCAACATAATACAGGGCATTTATACAAAGCCAAGAGCCAACATCATCCTAAATGGAGAGACTCTGAAAGCATTCCCCTTGAGAACGGGAACCAGACAAGAATGCCCTTTAGCACCACTCTTATTCAAAATTGTGTTGGAGGTCCTAGCCAGAGCAATTAGGCTAGAAAAAGAAATAAAGGGCATCCAAATTGATAACGAAGGAGTAAAAGTATTTCTATTTGCAGATGATATGCTCTTATACACAGAAAACCCCGAAGAATCTACAAGAAAACTACTGGAACTAACAGAAGATTTCAGCAAAGTATTAGGATACAAGATAAACATACAAAAATCAGTTGGATTCCTCTACACCAACAAAGAGAACTTCGAAGAGGAAATCGCCAAATCAATACCATTTACAATAGCCCCCAAGAAAATAAAATACATAGGACTAAATCTAACCAGAGATGTAAAAGACCTATACAAAGAAAACTACAAGACACTACTGCAAGAAACCAAAAGAGACCTACGTAAGTGGAAAAACATACCTTGCTCATGAATAGGAAGACTCAACATTGTAAAAATGTCAGTTCTACCCAAAGAGATCTACATATACAATGCGATCCCAATCCAAATTCCAGTGGCATTTTTTAAGGAGATGGAGAAACAAATCACCAACTTCATACGGAAAGGGAAGAGGCCCTGGATAAGTAAAGCATTACTCAAGAAGAAGAACAAAGCAGGAGGCCTCACACTACCTGATTTTAGTACCTATTATACTGCCACAGTAGTCAAAACAGCCTGGTACTGGTACAACAACAGATACATGCACCAATGGAACAGAATTGAGAATCCAAACGTCAATTCATCCACCTATGAGCAGCTGATATTTGACAAAGGCCCAAAGTCCGTTAATTGGGGAAAAGACAGTCTCTTTAACAAATGGTGCTAGCATAACTGGATGTCCATCTGCAAAAAACTGAAACAAGACTCATACCTCACACCACGCACAAAAACTAACTCAAAATGGATCAAAGACT